CTGTCTATGCTGTGCGTAACTGTGTGTGCTGTGTATAACTGTGTGTGCTGTGTATAACTGTATACTGTGTATAACTGTGTATACTGTGTATAACTGTATACTGTGTATAACTGTGTATGCTGTGTACAACTGTGTGTGCTGTGTACAACTGTGTGTGCTGTGTACAACTGTGTATGCTGTGTATAACTGTGTATACTGTATAACTGTATGCTGTGTATAACTGTGTGTGCTGTGTATAACTGTATACTGTGTATAACTGTGTATGCTGTGTACAATTGAGTATGCTGTGTACAACTGTGTATGCTGTGTATAACTGTGTATACTGTGTATATCTGTGTATGCTGTGTATAACTGTGTATGCTGTGCGTAATTGTGTGTGCTGTGTATAACTGTGTATGCTGTGTACAACTGTGTATGCTGTGTATAACTGTGTATGCTGTGCATAACTGTGTATACTGTGTATATCTGTGTATGCTGTGTACAATTAAGTATGCTGTGTACAACTGTGTATGCTGTGTCTAACTGTGTATACTGTGTATATCTGTGTATGCTGTGTACAATTAAGTATGCTGTGTACAACTGTGTATGCTGTGTCTAACTGTGTATACTGTGTATATCTGTGTATGCTGTGTACAATTAAGTATGCTGTGTACAACTGTGTATGCTGTGTCTAACTGTGTATACTGTGTATATCTGTGTATGCTGTGTACAATTAAGTATGCTGTGTACAACTGTGTATGCTGTGTCTAACTGTGTATACTGTGTATATCTGTGTATGCTGTGTACAATTAAGTATGCTGTGTACAACTGTGTATGCTGTGTCTAACTGTGTATACTGTGTATATCTGTGTATGCTGTGTACAATTAAGTATGCTGTGTACAACTGTGTATGCTGTGTCTAACTGTGTATACTGTGTATATCTGTGTATGCTGTGTACAATTAAGTATGCTGTGTACAACTGTGTATGCTGTGTCTAACTGTGTATACTGTGTATATCTGTGTATGCTGTGTACAATTAAGTATGCTGTGTACAACTGTGTATGCTGTGTCTAACTGTGTATACTGTGTATATCTGTGTATGCTGTGTACAATTAAGTATGCTGTGTACAACTGTGTATGCTGTGTCTAACTGTGTATACTGTGTATATCTGTGTATGCTGTGTACAATTAAGTATGCTGTGTACAACTGTGTATGCTGTGTCTAACTGTGTATACTGTGTATATCTGTGTATGCTGTGTACAATTAAGTATGCTGTGTACAACTGTGTATGCTGTGTCTAACTGTGTATACTGTGTATATCTGTGTATGCTGTGTACAATTAAGTATGCTGTGTACAACTGTGTATGCTGTGTCTAACTGTGTATACTGTGTATATCTGTGTATGCTGTGTACAATTAAGTATGCTGTGTACAACTGTGTATGCTGTGTCTAACTGTGTATACTGTGTATATCTGTGTATGCTGTGTACAATTAAGTATGCTGTGTACAACTGTGTATGCTGTGTCTAACTGTGTATACTGTGTATATCTGTGTATGCTGTGTACAATTAAGTATGCTGTGTACAACTGTGTATGCTGTGTCTAACTGTGTATACTGTGTATATCTGTGTATGCTGTGTACAATTAAGTATGCTGTGTACAACTGTGTATGCTGTGTCTAACTGTGTATACTGTGTATATCTGTGTATGCTGTGTACAATTAAGTATGCTGTGTACAACTGTGTATGCTGTGTCTAACTGTGTATACTGTGTATATCTGTGTATGCTGTGTACAATTAAGTATGCTGTGTACAACTGTGTATGCTGTGTCTAACTGTGTATACTGTGTATATCTGTGTATGCTGTGTACAATTAAGTATGCTGTGTACAACTGTGTATGCTGTGTCTAACTGTGTATACTGTGTATATCTGTGTATGCTGTGTACAATTAAGTATGCTGTGTACAACTGTGTATGCTGTGTCTAACTGTGTATACTGTGTATATCTGTGTATGCTGTGTACAATTAAGTATGCTGTGTACAACTGTGTATGCTGTGTCTAACTGTGTATACTGTGTATATCTGTGTATGCTGTGTACAATTAAGTATGCTGTGTACAACTGTGTATGCTGTGTCTAACTGTGTATACTGTGTATATCTGTGTATGCTGTGTACAATTAAGTATGCTGTGTACAACTGTGTATGCTGTGTCTAACTGTGTATACTGTGTATATCTGTGTATGCTGTGTACAATTAAGTATGCTGTGTACAACTGTGTATGCTGTGTCTAACTGTGTATACTGTGTATATCTGTGTATGCTGTGTACAATTAAGTATGCTGTGTACAACTGTGTATGCTGTGTCTAACTGTGTATACTGTGTATATCTGTGTATGCTGTGTACAATTAAGTATGCTGTGTACAACTGTGTATGCTGTGTCTAACTGTGTATACTGTGTATATCTGTGTATGCTGTGTACAATTAAGTATGCTGTGTACAACTGTGTATGCTGTGTCTAACTGTGTATACTGTGTATATCTGTGTATGCTGTGTACAATTAAGTATGCTGTGTACAACTGTGTATGCTGTGTCTAACTGTGTATACTGTGTATATCTGTGTATGCTGTGTACAATTAAGTATGCTGTGTACAACTGTGTATGCTGTGTCTAACTGTGTATACTGTGTATATCTGTGTATGCTGTGTACAATTAAGTATGCTGTGTACAACTGTGTATGCTGTGTCTAACTGTGTATACTGTGTATATCTGTGTATGCTGTGTACAATTAAGTATGCTGTGTACAACTGTGTATGCTGTGTCTAACTGTGTATACTGTGTATATCTGTGTATGCTGTGTACAATTAAGTATGCTGTGTACAACTGTGTATGCTGTGTCTAACTGTGTATACTGTGTATATCTGTGTATGCTGTGTACAATTAAGTATGCTGTGTACAACTGTGTATGCTGTGTCTAACTGTGTATACTGTGTATATCTGTGTATGCTGTGTACAATTAAGTATGCTGTGTACAACTGTGTATGCTGTGTCTAACTGTGTATACTGTGTATATCTGTGTATGCTGTGTACAATTAAGTATGCTGTGTACAACTGTGTATGCTGTGTCTAACTGTGTATACTGTGTATATCTGTGTATGCTGTGTACAATTAAGTATGCTGTGTACAACTGTGTATGCTGTGTCTAACTGTGTATACTGTGTATATCTGTGTATGCTGTGTACAATTAAGTATGCTGTGTACAACTGTGTATGCTGTGTCTAACTGTGTATACTGTGTATATCTGTGTATGCTGTGTACAATTAAGTATGCTGTGTACAACTGTGTATGCTGTGTCTAACTGTGTATACTGTGTATATCTGTGTATGCTGTGTACAATTAAGTATGCTGTGTACAACTGTGTATGCTGTGTCTAACTGTGTATACTGTGTATATCTGTGTATGCTGTGTACAATTAAGTATGCTGTGTACAACTGTGTATGCTGTGTCTAACTGTGTATACTGTGTATATCTGTGTATGCTGTGTACAATTAAGTATGCTGTGTACAACTGTGTATGCTGTGTCTAACTGTGTATACTGTGTATATCTGTGTATGCTGTGTACAATTAAGTATGCTGTGTACAACTGTGTATGCTGTGTCTAACTGTGTATACTGTGTATATCTGTGTATGCTGTGTACAATTAAGTATGCTGTGTACAACTGTGTATGCTGTGTCTAACTGTGTATACTGTGTATATCTGTGTATGCTGTGTACAATTAAGTATGCTGTGTACAACTGTGTATGCTGTGTCTAACTGTGTATACTGTGTATATCTGTGTATGCTGTGTACAATTAAGTATGCTGTGTACAACTGTGTATGCTGTGTCTAACTGTGTATACTGTGTATATCTGTGTATGCTGTGTACAATTAAGTATGCTGTGTACAACTGTGTATGCTGTGTCTAACTGTGTATACTGTGTATATCTGTGTATGCTGTGTACAATTAAGTATGCTGTGTATAACTGTGTGTGCTGTGTATAACTGTGTGTGCTGTGTATAACTGTATACTGTGTATGCTGTGTATAACTGTGCATACTGTATAACTGTATACTGTGTGTAAGTACTCTACTGTGCTTTTTATTTTCCCCCTTACATTAGAATAATTTGTGACTTTTTCTCTGCTGAATTGTTAGCTATGCAAGACAGCCACTGCATGTTATAGACTTCGTAACCCCAGGACTTAAGCAAAGTGCCTGGCAAGTAGGAGATACTTGGTAAATATATATCAGAAGATTGGGGGACCAAGAACCTGTCACCCCTTAACTCACTCAGCACTTAACCTCCTCTCACCCCCACCCCGCCTTGACTGATTAAAGAATCTCTTGTTTAAATAAAATGCATCAATGTGTCTTAATTTTCTGTGGTAAGCACCATAAATTGGTAATAAATGCTCTATCACCCACTCATTATGGTGCTGTCTCAGCTCCAATATTTAAAACCTATACGAATTTTTCGTCAAATCAACTGTTTTTCATTTTTAAAATTGCTCTATGACCTTTAAATACATATGGCTTTATCAAGCTCAGCCGTGTTGCTTTGGGCCAGGACCACACAGGCCCTGGTGACTCTAACCCCATCCTCTGGTACAGCCTGTGTTCTTAGGAACACCTCTATGAACTGCAAATTGGCTTCCTGACTGGGCACTTCCTGGGGCTTCCAGGAGTTAATCCTTCACCACACAAGCCTCCCAGGAGCCTCGTCTTCCTGTCCACCCTCCCTCCCTCCTGCATTCCTCTCCCCTCCCCTCTTCTGTGAAGTACAAAGCTTCATAGCCATTCTTCTAACGGTAGTGTTTCAACATGTTTCTAGAATGTTCCCTGTGCCCAGGCTCTTTCATGGCTACAGTTTTAATTCCTACAGGGCCAGTGTTACACAGTTCAGGAAACGTTAATCTACAAGTCAAATGAAGCACTCAAGGCCACACAGTGAGCTTACAGGTCCAACGTTTGTATTTTTCCCACAGAATGGCAGAATGGCATCCATCAAAAGCCCCCGCACCCAGTGAAGTCCCTCCTCCAGTTTTATTCGAGGAAATGCCTGATGTACTCCCCAACACCTGGATGTGCAGACAGCTGTGTGGTTTCCCAGGTACATGTCATTAAAACAAGCTGTGACCTTGCATAGAGCTCTCCAGGCCTCACTGTGCACCGAGGGTCCCCTTTACCCTGGCAAGTAGGGATGTGGGTCCTCTGAACCCCAACAGGGCCTGGGGTCAGGGTTGCCCAGCGGATTTCACCTGGAGAGCGCAGGTCTACTCCACAAAGCTGAGATCCTACTGGTTGAAGCACTTGCCCTTGAATTTATTCACGTGACCTTGAGCAAGGTCCTTAGAATTCTGAACCTTAACTGATGATGGAGATGCCCGGGTGGAAGCACAGTAGGAGCCAGTGGGCCTATGGAAAACTGGCTGGCAATGTATGGGTCTGCTTCTACTCCATGTTTCCACCTCATCCATCTACCCAGAATTTTCCAGCAAGCTTTACCACCCAGAGAATCACATCCAGACTCTGCCGTTGAACCTAAGACCATCAAGGCCACAGCCACAGCCGTTCCCATGTGCCCTCCTCTTCCTACTCAATGTCTGTGACTTCCTGTCTTTTCCCTCCATCACCATGCACCCCCCCCCACCCTCTGTCACTCTGCCACCCAGGCCTGGAGGGAGCATGTCCCTTGTTAACTCTTTCCTGTCGCTCCAGAAGACTCACAGGTAGGACGGAAGTTGCCTGGCTTCTTTTGTATTGTAGCTGAGGTTCTAGTTTTTTCTGTGACTACCTTAACTCCTATCAGAGTCTGTGTTGCATGTGGATGGTGCCCAGGTCACATCCAGATACCAGTGATACGAACCCCCAGATGCTCTCAGGCCTGAGTGCATCGCTAAGTTCACTTGTCTGTGGTTTCGTGGGACTACCCCTTAACCTGTCTGAACAGTTTCTCTTCTAAGTGGATGCCAGTAATGCATGCAGCTACTAGGATCTTATCCACAGTATTCAGCACATGGGAAGGGCTCATGTCCATGGAACTGAGGGAATAAAAACTAACGGTTTGGGGCTGGAGAGATGGCTCGGCAGTTAAGAACACTGGCTGTTCTTGCAGAAGACCCAGGTTTGAATCCCAGCACCCACATGGCCGCTAACAACTGTCCGTGACTCCAGTCCCAGGGGATCCAACAGCCTCTTCTGACCTCTGCGGGCATTGCATGACATGGGTGCACTTACCTACATGCAGGCAATACACACATACACATAAAATAAAAATAATAAAAAATCAAAATTAAAAAAAAAACTAACAGTTCAATCCCAGCACAACCCATTCATTTTAGTTGTGTGAACTGGACAGAAGCCCAGACCTTTGATCTGTGTGTGCATGTGAATTTTTTTCGTGTATTGCTGTTGCTACTATATAGTATTCTGTGTTCAACCCTCCTGAAATCAAAGTGTATTTCTTTGCCCAGCTTGGATTAGTATACAGTAATAATAAAGAAGTTAAAAAGTATGTTAAAAAGAAATGAAAGTGTTGGTTTGTAGTTAAACCTGGATTTGAATCTATTTTGCCTCTCTAGGGGCTAAAACTCTCCAAACTGTAATAATCTCAAAAGTTAAATTTGGGGTGGTGTTTTTATTTCTTTGGCTTTGGAGGAGAGGGAATTTGAAGTAGAGTTCAGTCTGTAGCCCAGGCTGACCTGGAACTTGCTTCAGCCTCCTCTGCTAGGATAGTAGGTGTGAGCCACCATGTCTAGCTGAAATGTTTTTATGTGTGTGAATGTATTGCCTGCATGTGTGTAAGTGCACCTGTGTCATGCAATGCCCAAGGAGGTCAGAAGAGGCATCTGATCCCGTGGAGCTAGAGTTATGTTGTTAGCCACCATGTGGGCACTGGGAATTGAACCCTGGGCCTCTGCAAGAACAACCAGTGCTCTTAACTGCTGAGCCATCTCTCTAGCCCTTAGCTGAAATTTTCTTAATAGAGAAAAACATAAGATAAAAAGTTTATAGAAATGATAGCACATGTTTCTATAACTCCATGGCGTTACCATTATATTATCATGGATGACAAGAATAACTCTAAATGCCTCAAATAGCCCTCCTTTATAAGTCGAATATATGTGTTCAAATATTTAATTAGATATGTTTAATATTCACATTTAATTTAAATATATTCGCTTATAGACATCTATTTAACTAATATATTTTATATATTTAAATACTGATGGATTAAATATTTTATTTATTTTAATTGCTAGAAAATGTGTGCGTACTTTTTTTTTTTTTTTTTTGAGACAGGTTTTCCCTGTAGCCCCATCTGGCCTGGAACTCGCTATGTAGACCAGGCTGGCCTCGAACTCACAGAGATCCACCTGCCTCTGCCTCCCAAGTGCTGAGATTAAAGGCGATTGCCACCGTGCCCGGCTGTGTGTACATTTGTGTAAGAGGGTACATGTGTGTGCAGGTGCACAAATAGGTGGATGGCGGAGGCTGTCTCTTGATGTCATTCCCCAGCACCGTCCACCGTGGCTGTTGAGACACAATCTCTCTGGCATGGGGCTCACCAATTCTGAGGACACCTTGCCTTGCAAACATGACGATCTGAATTCCATCCAGACACCTACATAAAAAAGGCAGGTGTGGTGCTGTGTGATTGCAATCCCAGCTCTGGGGAAGTGGAGGCAGGTGGAAAGATCCCTGGAACTCATTGTCCGGTCAGCCCAGCTTCCTTGGTGAGTTGCAGGTCAGAAAGAGACCCTGCTTCAAACAGAAATGACAGTGCCTGAGAATGACACCTGAGGCTGTCCTCATGCTCCACACACACCACACGTAGCCACACACCACATACACATGCACACAGCACCTCCCCGCACACATACACATACTGCACACATACACACAGATAGGAAAATAGAAAATAGAGCAAACCCTGTTTTAATCAGAGTGTATGGAAAGAAAATTAACTGCCTATATTCAGTCATTCTTCTAGCTTCCAGTTCCATTAGTGCTGAGTCTCTAGAGATCCTCCTGAAACAATGGCTCATAGTTCTTAGAGCGTGAGGGAGGTGGACTCTGAGCAAGTTGTGTGTGAGAGGAGCCCAAAGCTTAAAGCTGCCATCGCTGCCTATGCAGAGAAAAGCCCGGCATTCTGAGTCCAGTATGTATGCATGTTATGTTTCTCCGTCCTGTGGGTCTTTATTGCTGGAAATATTTTTATGAAACCATTCTGTGCTTCCTTAAGCTTTGTGGGGTCTGGTCTGCTCACCCTGAAATTTCAGCCCATGCCATAGTTTTGGAACATCTTGAGTTATTAAAAGTAGAAGAAACTGTATTTTGTTTGCAAGTAGAAAAGGAACAGTAGACCAAGCCACGTCTTTGGAAACAAAGATCTTATTTTATGTGGAGGAGAACGTTCCTTTTCATGATAACCTAGAATTTGGGATGACTGCGGGGCGAAGAGAGGAACGGTCACTGGGGCCCACAGTGTGCAGCATACACAGCAGAAAACAGAACAGAGGCTGGTTCACATCTTAAAGATAAAGCACTTTGCGATTTCTGTTCCCAACCTATAAGGAGACATTTAGCTTCATGCTATGCAGCCAAAATACACTGAGGCACACTCTTATGGTGCTAAAAATGGAGGCCTCAAGTCAGACCACAGCATGCCAGCCCTAGGCTGAATACTGACAACCAAGGGATCTTAGACAACTTATCTTTCTGAAACATCGGCATTGTAACCACTAGGTCAGATAACCTCTGTTAACATGTGCTCGCTCACATTTTTATGTCTCTGATAGAACAGTAAATCTTATGAATGGCAGGGCATCTTGGTTCAATTGGCAACACTGTTTGCTTTCTCAGAAATACATAGATTGTGAAATTTATACCTCATGGCCATATGAGTTAAATTATTAGTAAATTATATATATGCATATATATAATGTGGTTGGGGAGATGGCTCTGTGGGTAGTATGTCTGCTGTAAGCATATGAGGATCTGAGTCCAAATCCCCAGCACTCACATTTTAGAAAAGCCAGACGTGGCAGTAAGCACCTGTAAATCTACTACATGGGGAGGTACAGACAGGAATGCCTTGGGACTTGCTAGCCAACCTTCTAGCCAGTTTACCGAGATCCAGTTTCAGTGTGAGACCTTGACTCAAAAAATAAGGTACAGGGTAGTGGAGGACGACACCTGATGCTGACCTCTCTCCTCCACACAGGCACAGGTTCACATTCAAATATATATATATATACCGTAGAGTTGTTTTAAAATGTAAATAAAATCATGATGTAAAATCATGCCGTGGCAGACTGTCAGTACAGGATGCACTAATGCTGTGCAGCATTAAATTTTGAAAACTCTGGTATTTACCCACTTTGTTCATCATAATTTATGTTTGCCAGAAAACTAGAAGCTAATTCCTTTACAAAACCCTTGTGTCAGAGAAGTCTGCCTGCTGAGCTGCTCATCAATTTATTTAATTTGTCTGGCAGCAAGATCCTGACCCGAAGGGCTTAACTGTGCCATATGGTAAAAATAAAGATTCTATGACAGTCCACACTCATCTGACCATTGAGTGTCTGCTGGCGAAAAGAAGAGCGTGCTTCCACAGCGCCTGACCACCGTAAGCACCGCGGATGTGATGTGAGGCAGTGACAGGCAAACAGTAACCAACCGGCTTGGCATGTGGAGCCTCACCAGCTGGATTCGAACCTGGTCTTCCCTCTTCTTACCCATATATAACCTCGAGCAAGTAACTTAGTGGTGCTGAGGCTTCCGTCTCCTGTGGGCTTGTGAAAATGTTGACACACCAACTGTGCATAAGCTGGATGAGTTCACCATTGTTAAGCAATCAGACCCTTCTTGTGTTTAACTTCCTTAGAAAGGTCTGAAGTTTCTGATGCTGGGAAACTTTCTTCAGATAAAAGGGACTATTCCACTAACTGTGCTTTTCAAGCAGGTGATTATTATAATCCTAACTGTAAGACTCATGTGTATGTTTAAAGTGTAACCCGCAAACAGTGCCTTTGAGATGCTTGTAACTGTGTGTGTAGCCAAT